TCCATCCTCGGCCACGCCTCATTCCAATCTCTTTTTCACTCTCTTCTTCCCTCTCACTCTACTTGCTCCATTTCTCAGTCTCGCCCTTAATCCTTTCCCTCGTCCATCCCTTAACCGTCTCCTCCTTTCTCAGTTCCATCTACCTCCGTTCTCATGTTGCCCTTTCTCTGCCTTCTCTTTCCATTCTCGATCTCGTCTTTTTTTCTCAAACTCCAACTCCACCCTCCTCTCAATTTCAAGGCTCTCGTTCTTCCTTCTTGTTTCTCTTTGTAGCAATTCCTTCTCCCTTCCCTTCGAGTTTTACCAAATAACTCCATTTCTATCTACTAGCGTGCCCAAAGCTTCCTTCCCCATTCCATCAAACACTTCATCTTCTTCCTCGCTTTTCTAAGACTCCTTTTACTTCCTGCTTCTCTTCCTTGAAAGCTTCCTCTCCGAAGTCGCCCCAGCTCGCGCCTTCCTGTCCCCCTCCACGCGGGCTGCCGTCTCGTGACTTGCCCGGAGGATGATAATGATGTGACGTCTCGAGTTCTCGCGCCCTGTAAGGCGACGGTGAGCGGAGTGGGAATGGGCGCTCAGGGAATCCACACACACCCTTAGTGGCGGCGGCGGCGGAAAGAGGAGAAAGCAAGAAGACGCGATGGCAGAGATCGAAAGCTTCGAGGGCTTCACGATGCAGATTCACCTTACGTAAAGAGAACATTTCAATTATGCAACTATGTGAGGTGTAATGCTGGTATACCGCATACTCGGTTTATGAATGTAGTCAGAATCCGTGTTTTGGGGGTCCTTGGTACCGAAAAATCGATTGGTGGTGAAACGTGTCCGTCCCTCTGTGGTCAACGCTAGCGGTTAAACCGATCAGCCGATTTTCTCTAAAACGGATACTCCCCCTACAGATTTAAATAAACTTGACGCAATCTGAGTTTCATTCGGATATTTTGTAAGGGTACTTTACATAACGCCTCAAAAAATTGTTCTTTGCAATTCAACTTTGTCCTCGAATATTATAAAAGACGCTTAAAAGATGGTGCAGATCTTGTTTTCGCTGAAATCCCTGATATTTCTTGAATTAAATCTGTTCTTTAATGACAGTTCTTGAAATACGGTCATATATAATTTTTAATATAATAAATAAATATGAGTAGTTTTCGCGTAAATTTGCTCGAAATATAGGCAATTTTTATTTTTTAAACATTTTCCCCCCTTAAAAACGGCGACAATTTGTTCTTTAAATGTTATTCTCGTATGTATCAAAATACTGTAAAAATTGGTGTTTATCTCATTTCTGGCAAACTATGTATTTTCAAAAATTCCAAAATTTTAACGGACACCTCGACTTATGATATTCGAGCAACAAGGATAATAATAGGATAATAAGGATAATAAGAGGTTTAAGAGACCGATTAATTTACATGCATTCTCAAATGTTTGAAAAATGTTAAATCTGCTAACCCTTATCCCTTATAAAAAATAACCCTTATCGGCCGAGAAATAGACATGACACAGTATATCTGCGCTAACACAATTTTTATTCCTTTATATAATAGGGCAGGCAGATCAAACTGCGCCCGCACGAGGTACTTGCCAGCCGAGGAAGCCCGGCTTCCTTGGGAGCACGCACATTTTCTCTCCAAATCCGTAAAGGGGTAAAGAAGTGGAAGCTGAAGCTGTGCGATGCCGTGGATAGTGGCTTCATACGAAAATAGGTTCACGCGTTTGTTATACCAAACAGAGATACCGATATTCAAATTATGATCCTTTTCTTTACTATTTTTTACTAGTATGTGATGTTTACTTTTTAAAATACTGCCTTATATAAACATTTTTGCCAAGGGACAGGAATGTATTTGAATTCTGAATTTTTTCCTTGTTTCCGTTTTGTGTTATGTTTAATGAAATCATTCTGTTATTTGTTGCATATAGCAAGAATGTGAAGCAAATTAAGAACACTGTAAGTTAGCAGCTTATAGATGGACAGTTCTTTGAACAGACAAGAATTTTTATAAAACCTCTTTCTCTCAACGTAGGAAGTTAAGGCAATTATTTATCTCTTACGTAAACACTAGTACAAAATGAACATCCTTTCAATTTAAATGATTAATTTTACTCTCAATTGAAAATTTGAAATCTGGTGTATTATTTCATTTTATCAATTCTTAGCTTTAGTACAGGAAATGAGAATTAATATAGCTAAATTTGGGGCAATAATTGTGAACTGACTTCTCTGAAAGACAGTCATGGACCAGGTATGCAGTGATGTTCCACCATTCCTGACAGCCCGTTCTTCTAAATCTCACGCCAGTTGCTCTGGACGCAGTGCCCGCGAACTCAGGTGAGCTAGGGGAAGAAAAGTAGCCATGTCCTTTCAATGAAAAATACTGCGAAAAAAATTTGGCATATGGAACTCGTTTTAACAAATGTTCCGACGATGATCATTGAAATGACAAGAATTATGATTATATTATAATAGACTGCTTAGAATATTGAAATACCAGACAGTTTTGATAATAGGCCTCGAAGAAGAAAGTTCTCTCGGAAGCTAGACGGGTGTTATTCGTACGCGCGATCTTCCATGTATATGAAATTAAAGCTCAAAAAGAGGTAATTAAACTTCTTCAATACACTGATTTTAAAACGATCACGATTAAATTAAGCTCTGATAAAAAAAAGAAAACTGTTTTGATATTGAAGAATTTGTGAATATATCGCAAAAAAATTTAATTCCGTTGCACATTCTTTGCCTATTGTCTCCAAAAATCGCAAAGTAATCTGAAGTAAATTGATAAATGGCAATTTTTTACTGAAACCGATACATTTCATATTACTCGTAAATAATACTGAACAACAAATTTTAAAAACTGGCGGGTATCTTGGTATCTAACACGTGTTCTAGTATAAGTGAAACGTGCTGATTCAAAATATGCAAACCATTTGCCTCCATCCTCCACCGTTTTTTAGATATACTCTTTCGACCATTTATATTTTACTAAAACAATCATTGTTACATGGAGTATTAATAAACATGGAATTAGCGAAGAAAATAGTGATATTGAGTCGCATGACATGAATGCTATTTATGGGTATGTATAGTAATATGTACTTCAAGATATAATACACAACTAAATTCCATACACACTGAAAATACTTAATATAAGTGTATTTGATTTGAATTTCTTGGCTACAGATTTGCGTTTATGCTGAGCATTTGACATGTTAATTTGTCATTTTTATTTCCTGGCTGCATTCTAATTCTGATAGGCCAATTTTTTCTTTATGTTGTCCCAACTGTCTCAACTCAAGTATATGTCTCAACTGTCCCACTCGCACATGAAACAGTAATTCTTGGTGTACCCTATTTGCATTCCCATGAAAATGGTGATGATTTGTATATCATCACAAATACACCTTTTATACTCGTGATGGCGTATTTTTTCATGAAATAGTGTCATAGTTCCATACGTCTCTTTCATACGTCAAATATCTAACCAATACTGAATTTCCATTGTATAACAATACTGCTTTCAAATATCAATGAACAATCGCCATGCTTCAATGTTGTGTTCCACCCCGAGGCTTGACAAGATACCTTGAACCTCTTCACAGTAATGAGTGACGGCAAATTCTGTCACTCATTGCAAAGAATTTCACAAGTTTTTTGCGTCTGTGGCGAAAATGTGAATTTTTGGTACCCGATGCTAGCAAATGTTTTTAAGACGTAAATCGAGCGAATCAACGTGACCGTTAGTGCAAGGTTTCGTGTGATGTCACAAAGATCAGCATTGCTAATTAAATGAAAACCTTCTTCAGATTGCTCTGATACAGTGGACAGGGTCTGACACGTCGCTGGGAAATGAAAGAGAACGTTCTTCTTGCGTTTCTTCACGAACTGTATATTCTAGGTACTATTGGTATTGGCCACGTGACGGGATCACGGAGAATTGGTTTAGAATATGAAGGAACGTCTAGATACTTTACAGATGTACTAGGTTTTTAAGGTAAATCTCGTGATATATCCCGACAAACATAAATAACAATCTCTGGTTTGGTTGCTTAATTCGCACCATAATATCGCCTTCACACTCCGTCACTCACTTTGCGCCGCTGGATAGAGTCAATCAGAATTTCTTTTCTGGTTAAGAATGGAATTCTAGCCTTCCACAAATAAAATTAATACTTCTATTTTTTTTAATGGTATCTGAAAAGGGTGTCGATAAACTTAACTCTGCTGCTCAGTTATACACGTGTAGGAATTCCTGAAGTGAAACTCTTGTGCCTGTTTGACAGAATCCCACATGCGAGCACTGGTGCATGGAACGGTGTTACTGCGTACTTGTTCAAAATGAAATTTTATCTCTAATCTGAGAGAGTTTTAATATTTCAAAGAAGTTGACTAATGTTAATGTGTTTCTCTTTGTTATTGTGCAAAAACGTAAATATTAGAAGGCGAAGGAAACTAAACAACGGGTGAGTTAGACGTAGTCCATCACGCGAGTATTCATGTTACAGTGACGGAATGCTGAAAAGTAACTTGATACCGAAAATTATTCAAAGTATTATCTTAAATATAAATAATTACACAGACGAAAATATTGTGTGGCGTTGCATAAAAAATAAAAAAGTGGATAAAAAATGTCTAAACGGTGTTCCGTGAAACTTCATTTTTGTCGATATCTTAAAATCCTGACGTGTCAGAGGAAAACGGTTTTCTTCACCTTGTTTATCAGTGTAATAAATAAGTAACATACACAAAATGTTCAGTCACACAATAACCATGACATGTAAATAAAATGACAGTAGCTTAGTGGCTTAGTTTTTCGATGATACGAAAGAAATAAATCATTTCGCGAAATTTAAAATCCTGGAATCATTTTTGAATTCAGCGCAATGAAATCGGTTTCAAGACTCTATACTTCTGCTCTCTTGTGGTGTAATTGATAAATAAATCAGTACAGTTGCTGCATTGCCGTGCTCTCTGGCGGTGAAAGTCATCACTTTTAGCAGAAATGTAAAGTTTAGAAACTTGGAGGCACGTCAGGAGAATGTGCGAAGTATTGCACTGGATGGGGATGTGAGATATTGTGTGTCATTCGCAATTCCTTTGTGTAACTAGTTATGAAATGATTAAGGGTTTAAGGAAAGTTATAGAGTATGTTCCTTAGACCATGGAGTCCTCTGCTCTTAACCTAGTATGTTTACAAAATATGTCATTGTTTTCGTTGACTAAATATGTAATAGTGTAACAGCTGATACCTATTCTGCAACCAACATCATATTTATTCTCTCCAATGTGTTCAAATTTCAGTTTTAATTGGAAAGGAAAATGTGTATTCATAATGGATCTTGCTTATTGTTCTTGTCTCTTATGATGTCATTAGGCACATCAGCAGCATCGCAAAGCAGAAACACATCTAAGACATAAACGGTATGACGAAGCCATCCTTTGTCATAAAAATGCTGCTGAAAAATTAGAAGAAGCAATGAAACTTACCAAAGCTTCACGCGCCCTCGAATCTCTTCGTTTGCAACAGGACTTCCACCTACGACAACAAGAAATAGTCAAGTAAGAATTTTTAATAAAATAGTAATAGAACTATTCAGTTTTATGGATACTAAATTAATTTATAATTTCGAGGGTGCATCGCTCATATGCATGGCATGGTAATCTGCCAACTTTTCAATCTTCATCTTGTCCTGACTGTGAAGTTTAACCTGTTTGTAAACACCTTCATACCATGTTTTGTAAGTAACTGCATGAACCAAATGTTGCCATTCTTAAATTACAATAATGTCATATTTCATTTTCAGGAATTTACAAAATAGGAAAATGTGGACTGTCCTACTTTTGTGTTTGATGCTTTTTGCTTTCGCCTATTGACTAGTTGATTTTATGTGTGGAAATTTCACTGTCTTCAATGTTTTCAGATTAAAGAAATCCCAGTATGAGATGTACAAAAAGACTTTAGAAAACCAACATCATAGATTGACTCGTATTTTAAAAATTGATCATATCTTTGACGGTTCTAAAGAACCTGAATCGTATAATAGTTTGCAGTATCTTATATACAGGTTAGTAGATATTTAAAGTAACAGGCATGGTAATCCACTTGTTTCTGTTGTAACATAACACCCCTTTTTTTTGCTTTGTTGGTAATCTTCGATTTTAAAGATCCAAATTGTATTCTGAAAGTCAGTCATTTACTACATCATTTGTTCATTTGAAATATTTTGCATGCTTTTTTTCTTATTTTTCATTTGTGCTGGAAACTCTTTATACAAGTAGGTGTTTTGCTCTAATGGTTGCTTTGTAATGTTGGTTGAGGATATGTATAAATACAATACATTGCTCCATCCAATTTTGTCGCTTGGCTTTGTGTTTTTAACTTCTGTTCGACTTTCATTGATGTGCAGAACTATGTTAAGAATAGGTATTGTATAGTTGGCACTGTCTGCCTGCTTGCAATTGTTTGTGTTATGTTTTTAAATGCTATCCACACTTCTTGCTTGCATCTAGGTTTTTTTTGAAATATGTTCCTTTCTCGTTAAGTGTTTGTTTTATCACATGTTATTTGTGTTCAATAGCTGAAAAAATATCTAAAACAATCTTATTTAGTAATTTGTACGAATGAACAAATGTTAAGTGAGATACGTGACTTATGATATCATAATACAATTTTTCATCTATTAGCTCTGGGAACTGCCACCTGGTAAGCTTATCAGATGATATAAACTTGTAGCTTAACCTTGGAATTGTCATACGGTTCTATGATTTCTTGAGATTTTCCATTGGCTAATGAAGTACATTTAAGAGGTGCTTTCATTAACACTTCTCCAGAAACTTGTTTATTATCATTATTCAAAATTGCATCTAATCTGCTCTTGTGAAGATATTCCACTGATTGTAATTAAAAAGGTGCACAAATTCTGAGCCCCTCACATTCATTCTGAAGAAAAGCAATGCATGCAAACCATATAAAATATGTGTTACTTGTATCCAATGATATTAAATTTTTGAAATATTTAATTGCTGCTTAAACTTTATGAACAATGTTTTCTTGATGTAATCATCTGAAAAAATAAAAAAAATTCATATTATTTAAATTGAAACCTAAGAGGACTCTATTATTTATTTAATATCAAAATCAGTTACAAACTAACATACTATGGAGAGATGTGCAATATGTGAATGGAGAGTGAAAGATTTGTAGACATGAACAAATAACATTTTGACTTGTGTTATCTGAATAATTCCATTATTTGGAAGAGTTATTGTAATAGAAATATTGTGGATTATTGCATAATTAGTTGTATTTTCCACATTGTAAGAAATTGATAAAAGATGAACTGGGGCACAAATAGAATTAGAATTAAATTACATTACTTGTGAATTCCGGGATATTAAGTAATAGCACCAGACTGGCCCAGCACGTTTTCTATTTGTATGTAAGGGCCAGAGTTTAATTTCTTTTATGGGCAAAAGATGTTTGTGGCTTTTGCAATGCAATAGCGTGTCAGTCATTGTGACTGACAGTCAGGAAGATCCTGAATGTATGAGGGTGCTGAGTTATAACATTCATGCTCAGAGAGGTGTTACTTGTAGGGCTGGTATGTGCTTTGGCACTCTGTTGTTGGATAAGGAAAGAAACACGAAACTACCTTCCTCCTGTAATTACTCGTGTTACAAAGCAGTTTTATTAGCGCTACTCGTATTAGCAGTTCGAGGATCCAAATAAGACTGGCTAACTATGCAGACAAAAGTAATAAACTAGTGATACAGAATGGAACAAACTTTCTTCAACTAGTTTATTTCCTATTGTTTTGAATTGGAGCTTGGCTTTCTGTATAGCACCATCCGGTTTCCTGTTGTCTCTATTGGCACATAAAAGACCTTGTAGAGCCCCCTGCATTTCCTACTGCTCTTCTGGTGACAATTCTTAGGGAAGAGGATTTTCACACACCCAAGAAATCGTACTGGAATATACCTTAAACGTTTGTAGTTCATCTTTCGTCCCGTTTCGTTATTTTGGGTGTAGGGATTCCAGTTCAAGTAGACCGACAAACATGCTTCTCACACAGAGTTATGACGAGATTACAAAGTTAGAGTATTGAATAAGGAACTGGCTGTGCCACAAATTCAACTGAAAACATTTATGTCTCCTCCGGTTTCATACTCACAGCCTTAGTGTCTGCCTATTTGCACCTGTCCCAAGCCCTACCTCTTGAGGCCATCTCACTGGACTGTGATATTTGTAAATGTAATATGGTTGGTATCGTAATAATTTGATAAAAAAAATAAGAAGAATAAACCTGTTCTTTTTTATGTAAATATATGCTATGCTATGGCTTGACTTCGATGTCAGTTGTTTTCATGGCATGAAAGTAAACAGAGTCTACTAACATCATTGTCACTTATGAACAAATTTGTAAAATTCAAATAATTTTACACAAAATGTTATAGAATAAAATTTTTACAGAATATCTCATTAAACACAATGGTTTGTTTTTCTCTCCTGTAATATTTATACTGAGAAGATTGTGTTGTATCAAAAAGTACATTTTCTCAAATTTTCTGTTCCCTAATAGTTAAATTGACATAAGAGTGAGAATATTATAGATGAGCAAAAGCTTTTAGCATAAGTAGAGTTTCATTAGAAAATTTGTATCTTTTTTTTGTGTGTAGATGTCATTTGACCATTTCTGAAATGGCAATCATGAGCTCATGTATTCACAAAACCCTTTTGAGAAATTATTTAAAAGAGACCTTTTGAAGATCATGTGTTTGGAAATACATTAAACTATAAAACATACCAAAACCAAATATTGACGATGTGAAAGAAATTTCAAAAACAGTATTACGTGTATTGAAATGTACAAAGAAAGTGGCACACCACTTACGTGCTTCAAAGCTTTTAGCTCTATCCACACAAAAAGGGTGTTCGTCCTATCCACGGCCATGGAATAGTGTGATCAAGTTTTGCATGAACATCTCGGTGGTAATGCTGTGGTGCACTCTTAAGACAATCTTCAGTCTTGAATGCGTTCTCCAGATCTAACTCTGTTGGACTTCTACTTATGAGAAAGTTCTACTTATGAGAAAGCTTTAAGGATGAAGTAAACCGTAGAAAACAAGCATACCCTGGGGCTAAAAATTAAATTAGATGACTCCTCTCCCTTGACCCTCTCCCCGCTCGACCGTTATACCTGGATGAAAAGATCTTGTGAGACTTTGGGAATAAATTGGCATGTGCTGCAATCACTGAGGACTTTTGAAAATGTTGCTCAAACAGTAGTTCAACTATTCAGAACTGTATTGACACTGATAGTTGGCATTTCGAGCATCTATTTTAACAATTGTACCTGTAAAAGTCTATGATAATTAGTGCTTATCATTTCCTGTTTGTATGAATTTAGCTTGGTGATATTAAGACATTTTTTTATTTGCTTGAAGTTTATGTGCTTGAACATTTTTTTGGCTTCCTCTGAATGTACAGATATGAAAAAGTAAAGTAAGTTCCTTGAATCTGGCAATGAAAAGTTGGTCTTCTGGTGCCATATTCTTGAGTAAACGAGGAAATGCAGTGGGCTTTACTAGGTAGTTATGAATAACTAGTAATAAAATATAGTACAGAGATTCTTCAGTTTTTTTAAAAAAATATCATATTCCTCATGGCCAAAAGTTTAGTGGACCTTCTAAATTTAGGTATTTTCAAATTAATTGAATATTTAAAAAAAAAATTATGTTGTAAGTAATTAATAATACACTGATTTGGTAACAAAATTCTTTTAAATTCATTTTATACAAGATTATACAAGTTATTAATTAGTTAATCAAATATGGATAAATTTCTACATTATATTACTTAAGAGGAGTCTGATGACCCTGTCAAGCCTATGTTAAAATGACTATATTTCTAACCCCGTATGTAAGAATCTACTTTATATAGAACTTTGAAATTTTTACGGTGTATTCTATAACTGCTCATTATTATACTTAGGCAGAATTATATGAATAGGATATCAAAAAACCACTTTACAGAATTTTAAAAAAGAATAAAAAAATATTTTATAAATTGGACACATATCCATAATTTACACAGTTTTGTAATCTACCTCATTATTTGCATTAAGTAGCTTAGTCATAAAGCTAATCTGAAAATTTAATCTTTTTATCTTAAATAGTTTATGAGAAAATCGGTCAATCTAACAAACAAGGTGTACTTTCCTAAGAAACCATACTTATAACCTGGAATGTATGTTACCTTTACCTTAACAACCTGGAAGTTGATAAAACACAACTTAAGTGGGATTGAAATTGGTAACCCTAAAGCATAATGCATGCCTTCCCAGGTGTTCATATTATTTAGACCATCAGTTGAAATTATTTGTGAAAAATTCCTAAATAAGCAGGGACTATTATTTACTCACTCTGCCAGTTACAGCATGTTTTGTTTGTCTATTTGTTAAAGCTTTAAATGATAATGAATAACTTGCAAATTATATTACAACATGTGTTGTAATGTAATAAGTGCAATACACCTTTTTTATATATATATATATATATATATATATATATATATATATATATATATATATATATATATATATATATATATATATATATATATGTATAGGAGGAGTATATGTTAGCTTTTATTCCGAGTCAGATTGTGTTTGTAGGGATTAGCTTTACCAGATTGACTTCTTTGCGAAGAATTGCTAGGATTAGGGGTCCTCCAACTATTAACTTGTTATAAATATTCCTTTATAAACATTGTTATATGCACTTACAAATTGTCTCTTGCAGTTTATGGGCAAATCTAAGATATAACTGTGTTGTGTTGGGTTAGATTATCTATGATCATTTAAACTTATAATATATTTTTTGAGTCTCGTGAAATAGTGTTTGAGAAGAGAAATTTTGTAACTTATCCCAAACCATTTATTGTACAACTCGAAATTTGTCTAATGTAGTCTTTCTTATCTGCCAGAGAGTATTTCTACTATTTCTATTTCTAGCCCTCAGGAATGTCTCAAAAAGAGATCATATATAGTAAATATATTTTTTTCTTTCAAACTTATTCCAGGGGAGTTATTGTCTGCAAAATAAATTGTGATGTATTTGCTTTTATTATGCAAACAGACATAACAGCCAATGTTTGGGACGCTATGTGCACTTTCATGCAATTAGTTCTCTAGAATAGTATCTTGGTAGCAGTATTAAGAGAATAATATCAAAAGACGTAGAGTGGTATGTTAGTGTTTTCACTGTGTGCAAATGTAAACCACGCCATGAAACAAATTTTTTCAACCTATTCAAGAGATCTTCAATTTATTCTTTGCAGCTCACTTAATATCATGTTGAACGAACTAGAAGTCTTTTACTCTATTAATATCACTCCTTGAATTTGTTTTTCTTTGTCATTCTTTTTAATCCACCTCGAATTCCTTCTATCTTCTGTTTTTTATGCCCATTTTTAAGTTTTTCCTTAATTCCTAGGTCCAAGGGTTCAAGTCCTGACTGTGGCACGATTTTTGACACAAGTTAGGTATTATTCAGGCGCTGCCTGAAGGAGGATTTCAATCAGTAGTTTTCCATTGTTTCTCCAATCTACACCAGGCGATTGCTGGAACAGACCACGGATCATGTGCAAACCTTCCTTCCTCTTTCTTGTTTATGCTCATTAGTTGTTAATCCCCTATTTATTACTAAGTCATGAAATGTCATAGCATGAAAAATTTCTCACACTTGAAACATAATACTTGATTATTCATTGTTTATCCATGGTTATACATGGTATTTATGGTTTTTTATGAGCATGCTTGGGTTCTTGGTCTGCAATTAATTTTTGTGCATGTGTGTAATGGAATCGCCAATATTTATAGCAAATAGAGTGCATGTGTGTTTAAGTATTAATGATAAGTTGGCATTATTTCTATTAAAGCCTTAATATGGATCATGTGTGGTTATTGTGTAGGTAGGGAAACCACAAGGGAAGTCATTTTTATGTTTATAAAAATTGCTTCTCTGTAATACATATTTCAAAAATAAATCTGTATTAATTTTCCTAATTAATTAATTGACTACTGTTTTGCTCATTATTTTAGTTTTGTGATTTAAAGTATTTAAAAGTAAGGTTGTTATTATTCAACACCGTTTCTCCTTTGAGAAACAATTTATAATTCTTGGGAATAATTTACAATTTGAAATATATGAATATGAGAAACCTAATATAGAGTGAAAGGTTACTTTAGATATTTTTGATATGTATCAATGAGGAGCGAAATGCCTCAGTTTTCCCTTATGTTCATTTTATTGTGTGTATTACATTTTCTAAAGAAACAATGCTAACAATTTCATTATTTTTATCCCTATCTTAAAGAGGCTTGTTAATCTGAACCTCAGCTTTAATGGTACTATTTCTCAAATATTTCTGTAAATATTTCATGTGACCTACCAAATAATGCAATTTCAGTATTGCTTGTATTGATTTTAATATTGATAGTCTTTGTTTCTTTTCCATGGACTGTTTCATGATCATCACACTAATATTTTATTTTTTTTACTTCAATTTTTCTAATCAAAGTTATTATTTATTTAATTGAATCTGTTAGATCATCCTTATGATCCAATTTGTAACTTACAGTTTGTGAATAATATAATTAATAACTTTTCATGTAATATGTGTGAATTTCTTTGGTGTACTGAGAAATAATTTTAGAAGTAATGCTTGTTAATGTCAACAAAATTATTTTTACTTTTTTTTGTTGATATGAATGTGATTGAAACACCTATCTTTAACATTATACTGTGGTCTCTAGATTGTTTCATCTTTTTTCTATTGAAAAATACGTTCATAAAAACAGGTTTTTTTGTTTTTTGTTATTTAAAGTCGCATCAACTACTCGGTCATTAGCGACCACTATTGCTTGTAACAGTATGGTAACTGTGAGGATGACAGGATATGATGATGATGGGGGGTGAAAGGACGAACACAATACAACAATGCCCGAGCTGGGACTCGAACCCGCGATCCTTCGGTCCAAGATCGCTATGGCACTACTGCCTTAGTGATCTCGGCCATCTGGACCGGCAAGATCCTATAATTGCATTGTGGATGTTTATGAATACACTTTCTCCATTCAACTACATCTTCCAGCATTTGTAAACATCCAAACCCCGACTGTGACATTTGCTTTACTTAAACCACCTGTCTCCTCAACTATCATGCTGATGAGATTCATAAAGCAATGTCGATCTAATACATACTTCGTGTGCCAATGTAGCTGGTGTGCCTATTTGTTGTTGGTCCTGTTTATCCATAGGTAGCTAGGTTACAACATCTATTTTCACCTATTTACCTGGGTAGGGTGGGGAATGGGGAGAATAATTCAGGTTTATGGGGTGATTCATGGTTAGGAACTGGATTAAGATGCACTAAAAAAATATATTAAATATGTTCGCATTTGTGCTGTAAAACTTTGCAAACATACACTAAAGTGGGCCCTATAGTGTACAATTATTCACGATTATTCTCATTTTATTTAATATTTATGTACAGTAAATTCATCCCTCACTTTACTTACTTAAAGGATTTTAAGATTGTCTTTGTGTTTATTCATATTCAAATGTTGAATTTTTTCCATCTTTTTTAACTCTCTTCAAAACTCTGGGATTTACCTTTTCAATCCTGATTTTCCTCTCAGTGAAACTTTGGGCATGATTTTGCTAAGAAAATTGTAGAGAAACAATTTAGTCACTACAATTCTGATACCCAATTTCTGGCATCACTTTTCACTTGGAGAATAATTACGAACCTTATGGAGAATTTTGGGAAGATGTACTGCTAATGTTTATATTGTGTTGTTTAAGCCCTTTTAAAGCCTTAGCAATCTTAAAATGTTTACCCATGGCCAATGCTAGGCTTCCTTGAGAAAACTGTATGTGTCATTTGTGAGTGAGAAAGGACATTAGAAGTTAAGATAGGCTGTCTTATTTGCTCTACGAATCAAGATGAAGACAGAGAGTCCTTGGAAGAGAAGTTTATTAATTGTTGCTGAAGGAATAGAAAATCTTTTAGAACTTCAGTTCAGTACAAACAGTAACTATGCATTAGTATCATTTTTATGCATTACATGATTTTTAGATACTCTAAAAAATTGGTAATTTATGTGTTTCATGTGCTGTAATGTATAAAATGAAACTATTTGGATCTTCTATTACAATTATTTTTGAGGTTTAGTTTTTCTGCTTCTTTAGTTCCTTTTTGAAAGTCTTGTTGTTTTTTGTTGCTTCTCCTAACTTACAAGGGTTTTATTCTATAAAATTTGGTTTCTGGACTTCCAAAAGAAGTAGTGTTTTGAAACTAATAACTCCTATGTTCCTTGTAGTCTTGTTGGTTAAATACTCAATAAGATGTTGACTAATTCTGGGGCTATGCAGTTTTTCTCAAAATTAGACATTTTTTAAGAAAAACTTTCTTGATTTTGCAGGAACATAGAAGTAGCCGATTCACTTTTGGATATGCTTATTCATCATGGAGGAGAAAGTGAATCAATTGAAACCAAGAAAGAGGAAGATGAATTGGAAGAGACAAGTAAACCTGATACCTGTAATGTTGTCGGTAGCAAACAACCTAAAGATGAACACGTCGTGATTGAAGAGCTGCGCACATTAAATCAACAATTGAGGAGCTTTGTAATGCAGTTAATTGAGCAGCTAGAAGTGAAGGAAAATGAGAATGCCCGGTTAAAAGAACGAGTAAGAACTCTGGAGGCAGAGAAGGAAGCAAAGCTCCCAACAGAACCTCCTCGCAAAAACAGCTTGCATGTCATCACAGATTCCTCTGGTGGAAATTCTCCTTTTGTGTTTTCTCCATGTGGGGAGTTGAGTCCTGACGTGATGGATACAAATGTTGCCAGGGAGCTTCCTATTTTAGCTCCGTTAGAAATGCCAAACTTCGATTTCTCAATTTTCATGAAACCTACCACAAGCAATCCTCCAGATACTGAAGATCAGCAATGATATGAATTTACTGTACAAGTCACTGCTGTGGTATGGATTTGCATGCATTGTTGAGTAGGAGATGTATTTATTTTTATTATGGATGTGAAATGTAGTTTGCTTGGAATTTGGGAAATCAAAATGGTAAAAATTTTTAAAAGAAACAGTTCAGAGATAGAATAATTTTTGTTACTTAAATTCTTCTTCTGATAAGTAAATAAATTGTGCTCTTTTATGCTGTTAAAATACAATTTAGTATTATGTCAGCACATCTCTGTGTAGTAATAGATAAACAAGTGACTGCACCAACAATTTTGCTCACATTGGTTGCCATGTTTCATAGTCTGTGACTAGTATGTGAGAAATCCCTTTTGTAGAAAGTGACACTGCATCATTTTTCTAGTCATTAGAAGGTTTCTTCAAATGATCTTTGACCACAATATACTATTTTTTCATTATTTTTATTTAAATATATGATACCATGTGCATTGTAAAACAATCAAAACAAATCATTTTCAAGTGATTCAGTAGATCTTGCATGCTAGTGTGTGAAGCAATCATCTTCTTGTGGAAATAAGGTGAAAATAATCAACAAATTTATCATATAATTGATGAACATCTCTCTCTCTCTCTCTCTCTCTGAAATGATGAATGCAATTTATTTGCATTTGAAATGTATATCCTAAACTAATGTACAATACCATAAAGGCTGTCCAAAATAAAGATAAATTATGTTGTTGTTTTTGTATTTTTTTGGGGGCTAAGAATGTACTTTAGAGCTACTATATCAAATGTTTTGTTTTCTTCCCATTCTAGACTGCAAGATCTATGATACTGTGCTTCCAAATTTTTCACACATAATGGCAATTTATGCATGCTCTATTTGGAATTTCTAATGTGTTCAAGTAAGATTTAAAAGATTAGATAGAATGATTTATATGCATGCTAAACTAACATGAACTATTGTCAATCATCTGTGTAGCTCTGCACTAGTGGTGTTGTGGTCTAAGTGCTAATGTTTCAGTTAATTTCATTTATATCAAATGTTTTAAGGCTATCTCATAGATTAGAATTGTTTCTTTTTAGAAATCTCTTTTAGGTTTGTATCTGTCTATGTGTGCCCTAAAATAATATTTGTTGGAATGTGTCCCCAAATGTGTAAATGAAATTTATGATGTGCCACCAATATATTTGTTGGAAGTGTGATATTTGGGTATAGAAATGGAATGTAAATATTTCAATTTTTGGTCATGTGCAGTGTACTTGGTTGAGGGCAGTATTCAGTTTCTGTAATGCTCAATGTTATGACAGTAATATTTATAACACAAAATTCGAATTGAGTGTTCAAAGTAAAGTAATACATTGAATACAAAATGATGGTGACATGCTTTTGCGAAGAGTGACTGCAAATTAAGAATTTGTACCTTGCCTCTGTGCTCGTACATTAAGCTGCCTTTAAAACATGTTTTTATGCATAAGATAAAATTATGAATACTATTAAATAAACTCGTGCGGTACTCAGGAAGTATTAATATGCAGGATTATCGTTTGTACAGTTGTTGTTTTAATGTGCTTAATATCATGATGAGTTCATTTTTCCAATGAAATGTGATTTGTTTTATAAATATAAATAGTAACATTTTACAAGAAATTCTGTACAATATTGTCATGTTTTGAAACAAATGTTTTGTTGTAATTTTCTTTTAAGACCATTGTATAAAAAGTTACAAAATATACACAGTGATTTTTTAAAATTTCTTTTTCATGTATATTTTTTCTTCAAATAATAGAAATTTATCTCTGAAACACTGGAATTCACAATGTAATACTGAGATTTGTAGTTGATTGAATGTATAAATTGGGGGAATGTTTTTAGGGATTATGAAAAGTGTAAATGACTGCACAACTGTATAAATGAAAAATTTGAAACAGTGTGTGTAGTAAGAAGAATATATGACTTTTCAGAATTATGCAAAAAAAAGCATATTTGCTCAAATGTAAAACATTCTTTTCTGTTAGAATGAGAGACATAAACAAACTGATCCATTGAAAAAATCATATATAAAAATATCTGATAAATTCAGGGAAAGAAAATAGTTATTTACAACATGACAAGGAGACTATTCAAGGAATATGGATACAACTAGCAAAGATGTAAGAATAATGAATTTTATTGTGGGTGACAATAATAGTCACAGAAAGTTGGATTTTGAAAGAGCTGAGAGAAAAATATTATTACTCCTACTCTATTAATGCTCAATAAGTTCTGACACTCGGACTATGATGCAATAATATAAACAAGGTTAAATAATAGTTGTTTATGATACGAGTGGTAAAAGTGACACTTTATTTTGCGAGTAGGAAAGGTTGTAACTGCATTCCTGAAGAGAAGTGGATAAAACACTATTTTACCCTATGGAACAATCTAGATCCTAGAAGAACTAAAGATATAGAACAAGTAGATGACATCAGTGAAAATAATGATATGGACACCCCCTTGAATATTGATGAACTAGAGACAGTATTAAAGAAATCAAAAAATTGGTAAAGCTCCAGATTAGATGAAAATAACCTAGAACTTATAAAATATGGAGGAAAGGAACTAAAAGAAACATTACTAGGACTTCCTTACAAAGTATGGCACGAGGGTTTGGTCATGAATATTCACAAAAAAGGGTCAAGGAAGAGCTGTGACAACTATAGGGGCATTGCACTTTTATCAACAGCATCAAAACTTTATGCAAACATGTTGAGAAATAGACTAAATGTAATAGCTGAGAATTTTATGGGAGAAGTGTGAGTTCCAAAAGGGAAGGAGCATTAAGGATGCCATTCTCACATTGCAGATGATGATAAACAAAAGAAAAGACAGACTCTTCCCAACTTTTATAATATTCATAGATTACAAAAACCCATACGACAGAGTAAACAAACAGAAACTGTGGGAAATACTGAAAGTGGAGAAAATTCCAAATCAATTACTCAATGCTATTCAAAATTTATAGGAAAACTCCCACATTAAAATAATGTTAAGAGATGGGAGAAAGTCTGCAACAATGACAACCAGCAGCAGTGTAAGCCAGGGATATGGTCTGTCACTTACTCTCTTCAACATGTATATCAACCATCTAGTGAGAAACTAGAGGAAGAAAATTAAATAGGATATCCAAATCAGGAAAGACAAAAAGATAGATATCATCTTATATGCTAACAATCAAACAATTATAACATTCTGAAGATGATCTGCAAAGAGCAGTTTTTGAAAAGACAAAAGAGGCTTGGAAACATTCTATAAAAATGTCAGTTCAAAAAACAAAAGTTAGGGCACTGCAAGGCAAAGAATAGAAGAGAGCCAAAGTTGTAATAAATGGAGAAATAGTGGAACAAGACAACAAATTTTCATATTTTGGAAATATCATAAGTGTATTTAATCACAGTCAGGAGGATTTAGAAAATAAATTGTATAAATACAACAAAATCTATGGAAGAATTAAACGACACTTTGACAGAGACATAGATGCAAAAACTTCACTCAAAATTCACAATATAACAGCTAAATCTACAGCTATGTATTGCTCTGAGACATGGATAATGAAAGAGAAAGAGAACAAGGAATACATGCAGTGCAGGAGATTTCTGAGACACCTTGTAGGAGTTACAAGGAGGGACAGACTGAGAAACAAACACATCAGAAAGAAACTAGTGACTTAGTGCAGGAAAGAGAAAACTTAAAAAAAATGGCAAGATCACCTTCAAAGAATGAACTACAACAGATAGCCAAAACTAATATGGAAATATAAATGAGCAGGGAACTGAGACTTTGGAAGAGCACAAAAGAAGTGTGTGTGTGTGTGTGTGTGTGTGTGTGTGTGTGTGTGTGTGTGTGTGTGTGTGTGTGTAGTTTTTCTGCCGAAAATTCGCCGTTTTATCTTTATATATATATAACATAATATATAAAAACTCTTATTACAGGGTCCTGGCAACGAAAAAGTAGATAAAATCAGTTGGTAAATTAGAAGGGGAGAAAAAAAAATACCTCTGACACTTAGCCAGAATCCAGGTTTTATGGGTCCTTGGTATCAAAAAATTGATTGAGGGCAAAACTCCAATTTTTTTTCAAAACATATTCCCCGATCGATTTGGCTGATGTTGCGGCTCCCTGAATTTGAAACTGATATTTCAATTTTGAGGAGAACTTTGCATGAAGCCCCTGGGTCATTTTCAATTTTTTTTTTTAAAAATGGTGCCATTTTATTATTGTTGGATAGTCTGAAGGACGTTTAAGAGAATAGCTCAGGACTGTTTAATTTTGTCAATTAACATTTTGTAACTTGTAAAACTGTAACATTTTTTTTCTTCCTAGAACTAAAATATTTAATGTTTTTCCTTAAAGTCTGTACCTTATAGATAGATTTTGAAATAAGGGTATGTACAATTTTAGAAAATTTGAATATTTTCGTGTAATTTTGCGTCAAATACAGGCAATTTTTAATTTTTGTTTAAACATTTTTTTTTTAAAAACAGCTCCATCGCTTGATGAAATTTTGTTGGTGGCTAGTGTGAAGGACGTTTATGAGAATGGTGTAGGTCTCATGTTGGTTACGAAATCTGATTTTTCAAAAATTGAAGAAAAAAAAACAGAACCAGGTTTTTCGGCGTCTTCCTAATCTACAATTTTATGAAGATACGATTTGTTTTCTTAGTGAAATGTGTTCATCAATAACAGATCTTTAAATAAGGTCATGTGTAGTTTTTCAAAAACTTAAGAAATTTTTGCAAACTTTTGTGTCAAACGGGCAGTATTATTTTCTGTAAATTTTGTTATATTATTTTCTGTAAACAACTTTTTCTTAAAATCCGAAGAACGCTTTTGGATTAAATTGGGAACTCTGCATTAAGGACGCTTAAGAGAATGGTGCAGGTCTCTTGTTCATTGAAATACGTAATTTTGCGAAAATTTGAAAAAAATGTCTGCTTCTTCCTACAACTACAGTTGTAAAGATACTTTTTTTTATCTTTATGAAATGTGTTCGTAAAAATTAGATGTTCAAATAAGGTCACGTTCAATTTTTTTAAATAATATTGTTTTTTTGTGTAATTTAGTGACTTACATAAGAACCCGCTCGAACTGACTGCGCTTCGTCTGCGGTGTCTTCTTATAAGAACAATTGTACTAATACAATTTTTTAATGAAATATTTTTATATAAATAGATCTTCACATAAGGTCATGTTCAATTTTTTGAAAATATGACCTTATATTTTATATAATATATTTTTTGCGTAATTTGGCGACAAAATTATATGCCCGCAACAATTTTACTGCTCTTCGTGAACGAGTCCACATAGTTGGGTGCTTTGTAAGTTAAAATATGTAATAATCTTTACAGCACGTTGTTCTTCATAATAATTCAATATCTGTAGAGTATAGTAACTGATGATGGAGACGTAGATGAAGACGTCAAACAAAAAGTCAACAAAGCAAATGCTTGTTTTATACAATTAAGAGAAATTTTAAAAATAGGAATATTGCCTTAAAAACAAAACTACGCATTTTCAATTCAAATGTAAAATATTTCCTTTTATACGGATTATAAACTTGATAGATAACGGGAAATATAATACATAAATTACAAGTATTCATAAACCGATGTCTACGAAGAATCCTAAACATTAGGTGGCAACAAGTATTAAATGAAGAACGCTGATGAAACATCAATAGCAATGCAAATAAAACGCAGAAAATGGAACTGAATAGGACATACTTTAAGGAAACCCCGAAATTCAATTTTTATTTATTTATTTGTTTGTTTTGTACATAGTTCAGTTTTCGATAACTTTACATATGCATTGATGACTTATAACTTAACTTATCCTAACTTAATACTACTAAGGAGGTTGAGGAAACCATAATGGCACCTCATAGGAACTATTCCAGATCTGAAAACAATTTACAAAATATGTGGAATGAATGTCTATTTTTATGAATGTTTGATGATGGGATTTTTGCATAGTTTGAATGAAGATAAGGTTTGGATATGGTGTATATTAGAGAAGAAATTGTGGGATAGGTAGGTGATGTAGTGCATGATGGGATCGAGGTTCAATTAATGATATAACTGATATGAACCAGGATGCATTAGTGATTGTACGGAGGAATTGGTTCTGTACTATTTGAATTTTGTTGATGTTTGTTTTTGCAGCATTGATCCATACTGGGCAGGCGTAGAGAAGAGTAGGTCTGATTATTGTTTTGTATAAAGTTATTGCTGTTTTGTATGGGAGGTAATTATTTCTATTTATTGAAGTTTTTAATTAATGCAGTTTGTTTTTAGTTTGTTATTTTGATGTCTATGTGCTGTTTCCAGTCCATTTTGGTGTCCATATGCAGTCCAAGATATTTTATGGGTTTATTTCGTGGGTACCATGGGATGGGCTCATTATTTAATGTTAGTGGGGTTGGTGAAGTGTATGGTCTTGGAAATTCAATTGACAGAGAAGTACTATGTTGGAACCCGCAAGGAAGTAGAAGCCAAGGTCGGCCGAGAACAACATGGAGAAAACAGTGGAAGGAGAGATCCAGGAGACTGGTACAGCGTGGAAACAAATCATCCCTACAGCAGGAAATCCAGTTAGATGTAGATCCTTTGCCGAGCCCCTTTGCTCTGAAAGGAACTAAAGGAAGAAGAAGAAGGTTCCTCAGAATGCCCGGTGAGGTTTTTTGTGTACAAGTTAATATCATCTAATCCCTAAAATAATACTGCTTATTGAATAAAAGAAAAAGGTGCATTAACTGAATAACTTCTATA